CGCCTGCGCGTTGGCACGGGACAGCGGGCAGGGGAAGACCCGGCCGCTTCCTGTGGGCGACCTGAGCATAGTGCGCCTGCGTCCTGTGCGCCCGCCTCTTCTTAGGACACCGCCCACATCCTCCGGACATCCGGTTAAGCCACGCCCCTCATGTAAATTTCACATTTAAGCCCCGCCCTGGTCCCCGAATCACGCCTATTTCAGATGTTAATTATCATAATCCCCACCCGTCGTCTCAGAATCCGTCCTCCTCGACCCAGCCCCGTGAAGTTTACCCTGCTCTTCCCCGCCTCCAATCCCCTAATCTCTAGAACTCCAGCTCTCCCTCATAAGCCCCTCCTCTCAGAGCTCCTTAGGCAGAACCACGCCCCTGCGTCTAAGCCCCGCCCCTTCCGTCCATAGCATTTAAGTCCCACCTCTCTCATGACTTTCATGCTAAATTAATTCTGCCTCGAACTTCCAAAGCGTTCTCTGAAGTCAGTGGGTCTCAAAGTATGGTTTGGAGACCAGCAGTATTGGCATCACCAGGGAATTTGTTAGAAATGTAAATTCTCAGATCCCCCTGCCTCTGACTTCCTGAATCAGAGACCCTGGGGGTAGGGCCTAAGGACCTGGGTTTTAAAATACCCTTCAGGTGATTCTGATGCAGGCTGAAGTTTCGAACCACAGCTTTACCACACCTTACACGGTCCCTCTCGTATACTCTCTGTAAACCTCGCCCCTAACTCGGCCCCACCTCAAGCAGCTAAGCCCGATTCTATTCAGCTCTTCCTCCTAAGCGCCCCCTCCCTCAGGGGCTTTCCTTCGTTACTCCTCTTAGGTACCCCCTTTTCTCCCCTTGGCCTGCATAGCAGTCATACCCACCGCTCAGCATCTTAACAGTTCAAGTCCTACCTCTCCTAACACCTTGCTCTCCTGCAGTTTCCCCTTGAAACCCCTCCCCTCAGATAAACGCTATCCATTCCCTCTAAATGCTCTCAATTTCTGCCCGTCAACCCTTACACCTCCTTAAGCCCCAAGCCAGCTCTCAGCCAGCCCTGCCCACAGTTCTCACCTAACTGCCCTACAAGCCTCGCCCCTCAGCCTCGGCCCCGCCTCATGAGTCCTTAGCCCCGCCCCTCCGGCCCTACCAAAGTTGTTCCTGCCGCACACAACCCTCAACTCAGTGTTTCTCTGCAAACAGTGCCAGGACAGAGATGGGCCAAAGTGGTGGCTGCAGAATTTCCGGGAATCTGGTTAGAACGGCGCCGGGGGTTGGCGGGGGACCTAGAGTCACGTTTGCACAGAAGGTTCAATGTTAAGAGTGGATCTTTAGAGGGAGTGCTTTGAGGTCCACTGGAGATGGGAGAAGCGTCAAAATCTTCCCCCAAGCCAGTCTTTAGCGCCAAGCTAACGAGGCACATGACAAGGGGGGGTGCAGCGGGGAAGAACATTTGAAGGGAGGAGAAGAGGGGCGCCAGCCCTGGGATCATCACGGAACACACACAGGAAGCCAGTAGGCAGATATTTATTTCCACAGCCCCTGCCTCCACAGGCCTGTCAGTCCGAGGGAGGGTGGCAGAAGGCTGCAGGACCCGGAAGTGGTCGTCCTCACCCTCGACCTTCTCCCACAACAGGAAGACTACCAGACAAGAATGTGTCCCAGTTTCCCTGCCCAGGTTCAGTGCCAGCTGAGCGCCCAGCTCTAAACCTGGCCTGGGGAGCAGTGGCCGGGGGTGGGGGTCAAGCCAGCTCTTTCCCCTCCAGCTCCTCCTCATCGGCCCCTGCCGTGGCTGGGATACCCTCGTCGTCCCACGGTGGTTCAGGTCCTGGGTCCCGAGGACCCAGGGGTGCCTCCATGGCCTCGGGGTGCTTGCGCCTGGCATGGCGCCGGAGCGTGTTGGCCTCGGTGAAGCGCAGCCGGCAGACGGGGCACTGGTAGGGGCGCTCCCCGGAGTGGACGCGGTGGTGGTGGGCCAGCTCGCCCGCCTCTCGGAAGCGGCGGGGGCAGAGCGGGCAGCGGAAGGGCCGAAGGCCGGCATGGATGTTGCAGTGCCGCCGCAGGTGGCTGGACCGCTTGAAGGTCTTGCCGCAGTCCTTGCACTCGTGCGGCTTCAGCTCTGAGTGTGAGATACTGTGGCGCTCCAGGTCGGAGAGGTAGGGGAAGGCCCGAAGGCACACCGGGCAGAAGTGCGGGGCCTTCTTAGGGCCAGAGCTCTCGGGCCCGCCTGCTACTGACCCTTCAGAGACTGTGTAGGGCACACCCTGATCATCGATCAACAGGAGGTCACTGCCACCGCCGCTGCCCACCGGGGCTGTCACCCCCTGTGCCAGTGGGGGCTCCTGCCCCGACTTGGGGGGGCGGCCCCGCTTGCGAGGGAGGGAGGCCTTAAGAGTCCGATTCGAGGAGGTGGCCCCCCCGGGACGTCGGCCTCGGCGGCCCCGGGGAACAGAAGGAGGTAAGGCCAGAGGTTTCTCTTCTTCCCCGGGCAAAGGCGAAGGCCACGGGTCTGGGCTGGGCGTGTCCATTGAGCAGTGGGGGGCTTGGGTCTGGGCACTGGAGCCGGGCTAAGAGGAGAGAAGGGGTAGCCGTCAGTGCAGGAGGGTATGGAGCGCCCTTGTCCCCCAAAACCTCGCCATCCCTGGGTCCGAGTCTGTCGACCTGGGCGTGGCCAACATTCACTTGGACGCACAAAGCCACACTAGTGGGTAAAATAGTAAGATAATCCTGTACCAGTTGGTAAACAGGCACTGCCCTGAGCCCCACAGGTGTCTCCCAGACCTCCCTAACCCCTCCTAGACATTCAGGGTCAACTTGAGCCAAAATACAGAAAAATCTTCCAAGGAGGATAGAGTCCAACTGAGGGTACAGGCGAGTATTTCGATCCTCAAAACAGAGAACCCATCAAACAGAAGAGCTACAGAGGCCTCAGAAATGTTTTTGTCCCTCCTTCTGACAGAAGTGACAGAGGGAGAGAAGGGGGGTCAGGACTGGAAGAAGAAAGGGATTGGTCCCAGGTGATGTTTGCCCCTAAGTTGTGGATGTGGACATATATCAGAGCTGTTAAAGAGTGTGGGCTCTGGAGCCAGAGGTTCTGGGTTCGATTCCTGAGTCTGTTACTCTCTGTGTAGTGCCCTTGGGCAAGGTGCTCACCTCTCTGAGCGTCAGCTAAGCCTTTTGCAAAACAGGATGAATACTTCCACCTACTCGCACATAAAGTGCTCAGTACACGGAAGTGCTTAGGAGATATTAGCTCTTATTTTCACGGTGAGCAGCTAAGGCTCACACCAACTCTCTGAATAAGGGTATATCACGCCCATTTTGCAAATGGGGAAACCAAGGCACAGGAAAGTGAAATCAGTTGCCCTAGCTCCCTCTGGCGGTACGCGGCAGGGCCAAGACTTGATCTCATGGACCCCAATGGCCCAGGGAGTGAGAAGTAATGGACCCAAGGGACATCATAGGTCCCTTAGTCCTGCGCTTGAATCCAGCTCTACCGTTCATTAACAAGTGGCTTTGCCTATCTGAGCCAGTTTCCATCTCTGTAAAATGGATACAGAAGGGTTGTCGGTCGGCATATATATAGTAAGCACCAAATGAACTACCATCACCAACACCACCATCAGCAGCAAAGCCTGGGACCATGGGACTGGGGAGTAATAAAGTGTTGGGGGAGGAGAGCACAGGTGCAGTTAGGATTAGGGGTTACAGGTGCCACTGCACCCCACTGGAACAAACACACAGATTAAGGTCCAGAGAACGGCAGCCACCTTTCCATGATCACACGGCTCGCTCGGTTGGGGTTGCCTGGACTAGAACGCGGGTCTCTGTAACGGTGCCCCTGACCCCCGCCCTCCTCCACCCCGGTGTAGGCGCGCGCCCGTGAGCACCGACTGCGCGGGGCGGGCCCTGCGGGGGCGGCGGCCAATGAACAGCGCCGGGCCGCGGACGGCGAGGGCCGCCAGGAAGGGGGTCTGCGCGCGCGCGCCCAGGCGGGCCGGCTCCGCGGGGCGCGAGGTCGGCGCGCGCGCTTCAGCGAGCGCAAGAGCAGAAGCAGGTGGGGGGCGCGCTCCAGGAGCGCGCGGTCCCGGGCCTCCCCTCCCTCCGCTCCTCTCCCCCCCACCCGGGCCCCCCGCCTCTCGGGTACCTCATTTGCATGTCGCCTGGACTCGCGAGTGTGCGCGCGCGGGGGCGCGGGGCCGGCGCGTGGGAAAGGGCGGGGGCGAGGGGGCCCTGCCCCTCGGCGGCGCGCGCGCGCGGGACTGCCCCGCCCCTCGGAGCGGATGCCGGTCGGCCCCTCCCTCCCCTCCCCCTCCCCGTCGGGCCCGCGCCCGCGGGGAACAAAGGGGACCCGCTGGGTCCTAAGAGCCGGTCATATGCCCGTCGGCAAGCCGCGCCTGCGCACCCGTCGCCCTCGCTAGCCCCGAACGGGAAATTACCCCACCAACACATCCCAAACACATAGAAATGTCTTTCCTCCCACAAAGCACCCAGCCGGGTGACCCAATCAAAGAAAGGTACCGAAAGGATAAAGAGCGGGAAAATGGCCCCTCATTCCCGTAATTAACATGGCGCCTGATTAGCTTCAAAGCCCACGGGAAGCCTAAGCACAAGATGGAGCCTGCTCTATCCTATCTCTATCGCAGATCAGCGAACTTCGCTTTGTCTCTTCTCCTGATGCAACTCTACATCCTACCCAGGAGGAGCCTGAGGCTGCGAAAAGGGAATCATGTCAGCACTCATCTATGTTAACACCCGCCAGCATCGATACCGCAGGGAGGAGGCCGCGCGCGCTGAGCTTGCTGCCCTTAGTCTGTATGGCGCCGGGGGCCACCCTAAACCCCGCCCCTTCTCCATGCCCTCACCCAAGATGGCGCCACCCTGGCTTCTCGAACCTCCAGTAGCTAGGAAAGGGACGGCAAAGAGAGAGAAGGGAGGGCGGCGGGGAGGAGAGAAGCCAAGAAGGCGGGAGAAAGGGGGAGTGCGGGGGAGAAGGGAGCCGAGGCGGAAGTCGAGGGGCCCCCCGGGTGGAAGTGACGCTACCCCCGCTGCCCAAAATGTCGGCGCCCAGAGGGAGGTGTAAGTAATTAAAGAGGAAAGCCGACTGACTTTCCCGGCCTCCCGGGGCCGCCTCAGGGCTCCAGAACCCCCGCTCCGTACGAGCAAGGTGGACTCGCCCGACTGCGGGTCTAGCCTGACCTGCCCCCGCCCCGGGCGCCCGGGGCCGCACCTTTTAGGGACAGGGGGGAGGGGTACAAAAGGCCGACTCTAGGGGCCTGGGTCCTCGAGCTGACTGGGGAGGGGGGCTCAGTCCCGCGGGCGACTGGGTGGGGAGGAGGCGGGGCTTAGTGGTGGCTGGGGCGGAGCAATGGGTGGGCGTGGTTTAGAGTTGAAATGGGTGGGGCTGTGGGTAGAAAGTGGGAGGAGCTTAGGCAAAGGGGTGAGGTTTGACAAAGGGGCGTGGCTCAGTGAGAATGGTAGGAGGGCCCTAGGTTGAAGGGTCCTAATTGGGGCTGAGGGGGGTAAAGGGGTTCGGTGTGGAGGTGGGAGGAGCTTAGAATAGAAGGGGTGGAGTTTGTCTAGGGATGTGGCTTTCAGGAAGTGGTGGACATAGTGAGGGGGGTGGGGTTTAAGCGTGTAATTTGGGGCGTCGTAGTGGAAATAGCAAGTCTTTATATTGCAGGTGAAATGACTTACGATGGGGAGGGTGTCAGAGAGGAAGGGCTGAGATGGCAAGAGAGGTAGAGTGGCAGGTGGTCTTGGAAAGGAAGGGGTTTACTTAAAGGAAAACTTGAGTGGGGTTTAGGAGGCGGATCTTAGTGGGGAAGAGATGGGGGACTTCAAGAGGAAACTCGGAGGAACTTTGCAGACAGTGGTAATCAAAACAGCTTACCTGTTGAGTCTTTGCTGTGCACAGGCGTCAGTAAGCACGCCGCGCGCATGGCCACAAGTTTGCTTAGTCCTCACCACCACTCCATGAGGTAGGTCCTCCCATTATTCCTATTTTGCAGATGGAAAGAGAATCAGTTGGCTTTATCCAAGGTTCCAGGACTAGTCCTGGTCTCCCTGGAAGGTTGACTCAGGTGCGCTTAGCCCCAAATCTTCATACTGTCATTGGCTAAGAATGTCGTCAATCTTCATGTGAAGATGACTTTCATCTTCAAAAAAGAGTGGGAGTGGCTTTCAGAGGGGAAGGGGCTTGTCAAGGAATATGAGGCTTCAGGAACAACATGGAGACTTTGGAAGGTGTAGCCGGGACCTGAACACGAGTGGGCGGGGTTTAACCACACTCGGCGGGGCTTAGAGCGGGGCGGGAGTTCATCCACAAAGAAGGGGAGAGCTTAAAAGCATTCAGTGGCTTAGAAGTGACTTGGAAGTGATTAGGAAGATAGATGAGTGGTGGAAGGGGTTGTAGGACAGTGGGGGGGGCTTAAAGAGCAGTAGGTGTGGCTTGGGTAGATGGGCGTGGCTTATAAGGTAGTAGGCCGGGCCTCACAGGTCTGTGAGTCCAAGGAGCCTGATAGGGGGAGGCTGTTGGGGACGTGGCCCCCTCACCCCACTCCATGTCTCCCCGCTCCAGAGAGAGCCCCCACCCGCCACTGCCCTCGCGCCACGCCACCATGGATGACGCCCCGCTGCCAGCGCCCCCGGTCCCTGCCCCGGCCCCGGCTCCGCCCGCTGTTGCCCCCCGCGTCCCGTTTCACTGCAGTGAGTGTGGCAAGAGCTTCCGCTACCGCTCGGACCTGCGGCGCCACTTCGCTCGGCACACTGCGCTCAAACCTCACGCGTGTCCGCGCTGCGGCAAAGGCTTCAAGCACAGCTTCAACCTGGCCAACCACCTGCGCTCGCACACTGGCGAGCGGCCCTACCGCTGCTCCGCCTGCCCCAAGGGGTTCCGAGACTCCACCGGCCTGCTGCACCACCAGGTGAGTCCTGCAGGCCGGCCCCAAGCTGGCCTCCCTGGGCTGGACTCGCCCTTGGAGCCCCGGGGACCCACTATGGGCAACAGACAGCTGGCCCCTAAGAAAATTTCTGTCTCCCTCCCTCCCTCCTTCCCTCTTCATCGAAGCACCCTGACCAGTCAAAGCATGAGTTGTTTCTCTTCCAGGCTCCACCCAACCCAGGAACTAAAACATTCATAGTAAATTTGCCCCACCTCTATGCACCTCCCCTCTCCCATGCCCCTTCTCATATGCCAGCGTCTGCAACTTTGTGCTCATCATTTCGTTACCATTTTTAAACATAGATTTACCACGTATGTACTTAATTCCTTTACTCAGCAATTACCTATTGAATGTTTTTCCCTGCTCCCAACACCTGGGATACCAAGGTGAAATCAATAAAGTCCACGCCTTCGGAGAACTTACATTCCATTGCGAGTGATCCATAGCCAGGTAGACAATCAGCAAGAAAGCAGATACACAGGCAAGGATGATCTGGGAAAGGAGAAGCGTTGGGAAGGAAGTTAAAACAACAGCAATAATAACCATCTGATATGTAGGAGTAAAGAGGGAGAGCTATGGGCTACCACACGGTGTGGGGGGGGGGGAGGTCAGGGCAAGGTGATATTTGAGCTGAGGCCTGAAGGAAGAGCAGGAATCCACCATGGAACAGGATTCCAGGCAAAGGGAACAACAAGTGCAAGGATCCTGAGGCTGGAGGGGCCAAAAGCATGCTAACGTGGCCGGAAGCAGAGAACAAGAATGAGAGGGTTGAAGCTAGATCTTGGCCCTGTGGACCTGGCAGGGAGCTTCCTCCGCATCTCTCTGGGAGGCCAAGAATCTGTCCCGCGGGCTAGACCCTCAGCCCTGACACTGGGCTCTTCCTCCTGCCCTCCCAGGTCGTCCACACTGGCGAGAAGCCCTACTGCTGCCTAGTCTGCGAGCTCCGCTTCTCCTCGCGCTCCAGCCTGGGCCGCCACCTCAAGCGCCAGCACCGTGGGGTGCTCCCGTCCCCCCTGCAGCCCGGCCCAGGCCTGCCCGCCCTGAGCGCTCCGTGCTCGGTCTGCTGCAACGTGGGGCCCTGCTCGGTGTGCGGGGGCGCGGGGGCTGGCGGCGGAGAGGGCCCAGAGGGGGCAGGCGCGGGCCCGGGGAGCTGGGGGCTGGCGGAGGCGGCGGCCGCGGCGGCGGCCTCACTGCCCCCGTTTGCGTGCGGTGCTTGCGCGCGGCGCTTCGACCAGGGCCGCGAGCTGGCAGCCCACTGGGCTGCGCACACCGACGTGAAGCCCTTCAAGTGTCCGCGCTGTGAGCGCGACTTCAACGCCCCCGCGCTGCTGGAGAGGCACAAGCTGACCCACGACCTGCAGGGGCCGGGCGCGCCTCCCGCGCAGGCCTGGGTCTCCGGGGCTGGCGCCGTGCCCGAGACGGCCGGCGAGGGCGGCGCTGCGGAGAAGGGCGAGGCTCAGCCGGCCTGGGACGGCAGGCTGCTCCTGGGCCGCGCCGGGGGCGGCGTGCCCGAGCTGGGGGGCCTGCTCCCCGAGAGCGGCGGGGAGGCCCCTGCGCCCGCGGCCGCGGCCGAGCCGTCGGAAGACACCCTCTACCAGTGCGACTGCGGGACCTTCTTCGCGTCGGCGGCGGCGCTGGCCAGCCACCTGGAGGCGCACTCGCGCCCCGCGACCTACGGCTGCGGCCACTGCGGGGCCCTCTACGCGGCCCTGGCGGCCCTGGAGGAGCACCGGCGCGCCAGCCACGGCGAGGGCGGCGGTGCGGAGGAGGCGGCGGCGCCCGCCCCAGAGAGGGAGCCCGCGTCTGGGGAGCCTGCGTCCGGCTCGGGCCGCGGCAAGAAGATCTTCGGCTGCTCCGAGTGCGAGAAGCTGTTCCGCTCGCCGCGGGACCTGGAGCGGCACGTGCTGGTGCACACGGGCGAGAAGCCGTTCCCGTGCCTGGAGTGCGGCAAGTTCTTCCGCCACGAGTGCTACCTCAAGCGCCACCGGCTGCTGCACGGCACCGAGCGGCCCTTCCCCTGCCACATCTGTGGCAAGGGCTTCATCACGCTCAGCAACCTCTCCAGGCACCTGAAGCTGCACCGGGGCATGGACTGACGTGGCCAGGCCGTGCGCCCCTCCGCTAGACCACCCCTCCCGAGGGCTGGACTCAGGGCCCGGGCCCAAGGGACCTAGGGACCACGAGGGAGGCCCCGGCCCTCCAGACCCAGACACGGGCCCCTGAGCTGGGGGGCAGCGAATAAACGGAGAGATTCCTCAGCTCCAGGCCCCCGGAACGCGTGCTGAGCACCCCCAAATCAACAGGCTCCTAAGCTGCGGGACCTAGGAATGAGAAATGGGTCTCCACGAGTACGCCTCACCTTGCGGGCCCAACAATAAAAGACGGGCACCCCTCCCCCAAGGGAAGACTGGCCCTCTCCCTAAGAGCCATCATTCCGACGACCTTGGTCCGGAGAATGGGGGGGAGCCATGTCCCCGGATTTCCCTGGATCCCCTCCAAATGCTACCCACCAGAGTCACTGGTGCCCCCAGATAAAGGATATAGCCGGAATCTGCCTCTCCCCTCCCCCGACTTTATTCCCTATGCGGAAAGAGGACCAGGGTAGTTGCCCCCTGCCCTCAACCCCTTCCCCAATTAGGTCTCCCTCCCCTACTAAGGAATGGATCGACCCTAATGATCTCCCCCACCCCCAAAAACTAGAATAGCCTGGTTCAAAATTCCTGCGCCCAGTGGGATGGACTGATCCAGATACACATACCCCCACGCCCTGTCCACTGGAATGGGCTGCTCCAGGTTGCCACCTGCGCCCCACCCTCCTTAGAATGCATACGGCAGGCACTCCTCCCCTTCCTCTAGCGTGTGGGCAGGTCCACGTCATTCCGCATTATGTGAACTCATGAGTGGGAGGTGGGGGACATTGGGGTATCCCTCCCACTCTGCTGTAGCACCTGTCGGTCTTTCCATCTCTGTCAGTTTGTCTCTGTGTTCTTCCCAACCCCAAGGGGAAGGGGGATTTGGCTAGGGGGTTTCCCCCTGTGAGCCTCGACCTTGCCCCCTATCCCACTCCCCAGTGTCTCCTGGACCCCAATAAACCTTGTCCTGTCAGCCACTGCCGTCTCATTTTCTGATCCTTGGCTTTAGGTAGGTGGGGATTCCTCCCCCTCTGATTTAGGACAGGCCTCCTAAATAGAGGCAGATCTTTCCTTCCACCTGAGAAACTTCGAGTCCTTTAGACAGTGCATGACCCTCTTAATATCAGAGATGGTTTAGATCTCATCTAAGTGAAACCCTGCACCTTAACTACAAAATCCACCTCCAACGGACGGATATGCCCCCTAGAAACCTTCAATCCCATAGGACACGCCCCCTGAAAAACCAAACTCTTTACAGACGTCCTACCCCTAGGAAGAGGCCCCGCCCCTTAGACTCTGTCTCCCAGGCAACCAAATTTGTACCTTAGCCGCTAGATCCTTCCCCTAGATTAGGATCCGCCCATCTAAGGATGGGCGGGCCCCTCAGATTGTCTCCTACGGGCTAGATTACATTCCGGTACCCAGTGCCAGGTGCTGTCACCCCCTCTGGGGATCCAACAGTGAACAAAATAACTCTTTAAGAAAACGAGTGGCTGGGCTGTGCCACCTTAGGTGGGGTGGTCCAGCAGGGAGGAGGTTGGGGGGGGTTGCTTCTCTGCAGAGGTCGCATTTGATTTGAGACCAGAAGGTCGAGGAGGGGCCGGCCAGGTGGACACCTGGATGAGCCCAGGAGGGGAGGGAGGGGTGAGATGAGGTGGAGAGGTAAGCAGGGGTCAGGGTACACAGACCCTGGTGGGCCAAGATGGGCATTTTACTGTGCTTTGTGGGCAATGGCAAGCAAGACTGTAAGTGTGAAGGGATGTGACCACTCTTTTACTTTCCAAGGGTCCCTCTGTCTGCTGAGTGGAAAAGGGACTGGAGGGGGCAGTGAATGTAGCAGAGGCTACTGCAGTCCACCAGGAGAGGGGTGTGGGGACCTGGAGCAGAGGGATGGACAGAACTAGGTGAGCCCAAGATGGATTCTGGAGGTGGAATGTGAGAGCGTGTGTTGTGTGTGAGCCTGCGTAATGGAAAGGGAGGAATGGGGGCGGGGCTGGGAACTGGTTGCGTGGTGCTGCTTTGTATTAAGACCAGAAAATGGAGAGAGAACAAGTTCGGGTGGAGGCTAGAGGGGTCAGGAGTTCCATCTTGAGCTTCTTAAATTTGAGACACTTGGGAGATTGGCATGCTCTAATAAGGCTGAAGATGTCCATATGACAAAGATAGGCACGAATCCTAGAGAAACTCATGTTCACCTGCACCAGGAGACTCATATAAGAACATTCACAGCAGCAAAATGTACAGCCCTGAACTCAGAACAACTCAAATGTCCATTGGTTTGGGCTGAATGTTTGTGTCACCCCAAATTCATATGTCGAAATCCTAATGCCGGGACTTCCCTGGTGGCGCAGTGGTTAAGACTCCGCCTGCCAATGCAGGGGACATGGGTTCGAGCCCCAGTCCGGGAAGATCCCACATGCCGCGGAGCAACTAAGCCCGTGCGCCACAACTACTGAGCCTGTGCTCTAGAGCCTGTGCGCCGCAACTACTGAGCCCGCATGCTGCAACTACTGAAGCCCGTGCACCTATAGCTCATGCTCCACGACAAGAGAAGCCACAGCAATGAGAAGCCTGCGCACCGCAACAAAGAGTAGACCCTGCTCGCCGCAACTGGAGAAAGCCCGCGCGTAGCAACCAAGACCCAACGCAGCCCATAAATAAATAAATAAAAGAAATCCTAAGGCCCAATGTGATGGTACTTGGTGGTATTTTGTTATAGTAGCCCCAACTGATTAAGACATTCATCAACAATACAGTGGATAAATAAATGATGGTATATTATGCCATAGAATACTATACAGCAAGAGAACGAATGAGTACAGATGCTCAAAATTACATGAATGAAAGTTACAAAGAAGCTGGACGCAAGAAACCAGGTACATAGAGTACCATTCCATTTCCATAACATTTAAGCAAGCAAGACTAAACTGTAATATTGTTTAGGATGCTTGTGGATGTGAGCCATCTAGAAGAGCAAGGAAAACTTTTTTTTTTTCATAAAACTCAGAACAGTAGAGTTGGATGGGTTAAATTCGGGATGGGACATGGTGGAACCTTCTATGGGCTGTGGGGTGGCTGCCAACATTCCGTTTCCTAATCTGGTGATTATTTTATAATTATTTGTTAAATTGTGCGTTTTTATCGTGCCCCTTTCATCTATACGTCTTATATTTCACAAGGAAAAACATTTAAAGGAGGGAGATAAGTTTGGAGGCAAACAAGTAAGAGTTTGGCATTCAAGGAAGACATTTTTGCCTGGAGATCCACAATTGCCCATTTGAAAAGGCTCCAGGTCGGCCCCTGGGAACGCTCAACCTTGGAGACATTCCTCTCCACTCTGCCACCAGTACACAGGAAGGGGGATCAGACTCACCCCTTTGGGGGGGGAAAAAATCCTTCGCGTTGGAAAAACAAGACCCGCCTCCTTAGATATAGGTGCCGCCCCCAGGGACAAGACCTGCCCACTTGGAGACTGGCTCGGCCTCCAGAGCTGAGGGCCTGGAAAAGTGCCAGGGTTGTCATGGAGATGGCCGCCAGGCAGTGGGGTGATGAATAAGGACCTCCTGCCTACCTCACCTCCACTCCAATCCTTTCTCTTCTGAGAGGGTAGCAATAGGGACTCGTACCCTTTCCCGAGTGTCTCAGTGCCAGGTGGTGGGCTGGACCTCGTCCCCAAATCGTGGCCGCATCTTATCAATGTGCTAATTGAGGCTCGAAGGCAGAGGGGGAGGATTTTACCCTGGGGGTGATCTCAACCGGTCCAGAGCCTCAGTTACTAGCCAGACGCTGGCGACTCCGACGCCTCTGTGGGCAGAGCAGACTCTCACATGCGGACAGGTGGAGCCAGCCACCCGCACCGCCCGCTCACATCTGATGTGATGCGCTTCGCATCTCCCCACCGCGTCAGTCTTCTCCCCTTCCAGGGCGCCCCCCACTCCAAAACCTGAGGCCCGAGTTCGCCTCACTCCTCCTCACCCTTCGTCCCTCTTTATTCACCCACAAATACTGCTTGATATGCGAGGCTTGCTGAGGGTAGAGCAGTTACACAGGCGAAGCCTGGCATATAAACTCCCTGGGAATTTATATTCCATGTGGAAGGGGAAACAGGCAAAATAGGAAAAGTAGCCTAATGTTTGCAGTAAGTACAAAGTTGAAAATTAGGGCAGAGCAAGGACTAGAGGGTGTCAGGAAGGCTATTTTATTTTTATTTATTTATTTATTGGCCGTACTGCGCAGTTTGTGGGATCTTAGTTCCGCCACCAGGGATGGAACCCATGGCCCCTGCAGTGGAAGCGCGGAGTCCTAACCACTGGACCGCCAGGGAATTCCCAGGAGGGTTGTTTTAGGTAACGTGAACGGGACAGGTGTCTCTGGGGAGATCTGTAAGAAATGAGGGAAGTACGGGAAAAATTATGGAAAGCTAGGAGAAGGACATTCCAGGCAGTGAACTGCACGTGCAAAGGCCCTGAGTCCAAAAGAGCAGAGAGGGCAGTGTGGATGGAGCAGAGTGAAGCAGAGGGAGAAAGACAGGAATCCGTGAAGGGAGCTTCCAGGATTCAGACGGTAGGGCGTGGGGTGCAGACGAGGAAGGTGGGGAGGAAGAGGTGAGAGCCAAGGGACGGTGTTCAGCGCAGGAGCGAAGTGATGTGATTTCTAGGTGCTGGAGACTGCACGCGAGGGAGGCGGGGGGCCGAAGCAGGGAAGCCAATGAGGAGGTGGAGGCGGTGGGAATGGCATCCAGGAGGGCAGCCCTGAGCCAATCAGCGCCAGGTCCCGCCCCCTGCCCGAGGCCGGCCCCGCCCAGGCCCCCCATCTCTCACCTGGACCCGGGCACCGCCTCCTTCCTGCTCCCCGCCTTGGTCTCCCCTGCATCCGGCCGGGCCTCCTCGCGGGTCCCACAGGAATTTCTCTAAAACACTAATCGGATCATGTGACTCTCCAGCTTAAAACCTTTTCAATGGCTTCTCAGTAAACTCGGAATGCGTCCAGCCTTCAGCCTGGACTAGGACGCCGGGCATAGTTGCTCGTGCAGCTCCGGCCTCTCTCCACCACACTGGCCGCCTTTGATGCCCCAATCCAAGGCCCCAAATCTCCCCCAGGACATGATCCCCACCTCCGCCCACGCCTACACACACATACAACACGCTGATCTCTCTGAAATTTCTTTCCCCTCAACCTCATTCCTGAATTCGTTTCTTTCATTTAGGAAAAAATATATATTAAGGCTTCAAAATATAGATAATAAAATAATAACACACTCACACACCCTAGGTATATACGCAAAAGAACTGAAAACAGCCATTAAAAGAAAAACTTCTACATAACAAATGTTCATAACAGTACTGCTCACAATAGCCAAAAGGTAGGTACAACCCAAGGTCCATGAACAAATGAATGGATAAACAAAATACAGTATACCCATACAGTGGAATATTATTCAGCCATAAAAAGGAACGAAGTGCTGCCCCACGCTACAGTGTGGATGAACCTTGAAAACATTATGCTAAGTGAAAGAAGCCAGTCATAAAAGACCTCATACTAGATGACTTAATTGATATGAAATA